GTCCATTTGCCGAAACCAGCATGTCTAGGGATGGAGGGAATTGCCCTTCTGGTCATCTGAAATGTCATCTCCAGCCACTGTCAAGCATGGCAGGGTGGTCTACAAAGAGTCTTGGCTCAAATCTCTCTCTTACCCTTTGCTTCTGCCCACCACAGATTATACAGTGCCATCACAACCAGTTGGTCAGATGAGGAATTGCACAGATCAGGGTTCAATCTCAGCCACAAGATTCATTGGATGACTTTGGACCAGTGTCCCACCATAACATACTCCACAGTGTTGTTGTAAGGATAAAGGACTAGTAGTAAAGAAACATATATCCTGATTCCCTTGAAAATAATTGCCTGTTTAAAAATTTTCAGAAATAAATGACCAACAATACAAAAATGAGAAGTAATAAAGCCAAAGAGGCTGTTGTATGTCTAAAAGATCACAAACCTGTCAACAGTGGGAAAGGAGTGGGAAGACTTTTGAGTAAACTGGTTTCCAAGTCGACCAGCAACTTGAAGGCACAAACACACACAAGCTCTCTAACAGAGAGATGCCAAGGATCAGGTAATAAGGAGTGAAATTGCAGAATTATATGAAATGACAAGGGGAGTAATGATGAAGAAGGCAAGATGCAGAGCTCCTGAAAAAGGGATTTCAACAGGTGCAGCTGGTCGCCAAGTGTGGAAAAACAAGCTAACTCTGCTTAAAGTCCCTTTACCAAAGAAATCTTCAAGACAGGGGGTGTCTTTTGCATCTAGTTGGTCTAAGGATTTGGCATTGGTGGAGGGAAAAAGATGGTTCTGACACACACACACATCTGATCAGGTTGAAATGGATGTCCCCATCAATATATTATGCACATTATGAATCTTAAAAGGTGCCTAATTAAACAGGAGAAAACACACAGTGGGTGACTGACAAAGAAAACACACTGCTCCTCTCACTGGAGTAAGCCAGAACCCTTGGTGGGCTTTCTGCTCATGGTGTTTACTCCACAAAAGCACCAAACCTAATATCTGGAAGACAGCATTCTGCAACCTCAGCTCTTCCTTCTTGTCTCTGTTCATGCATTTATTGTGCCTGTTCCTTTGGAGAATGGGTTGGCATCACCTGATTTCACAGGGCAGAACAAAGCCAGGCCTCTGAGGGGGCTCTGGCATCGGAGCGCTGAGAGGCGAGGCTAATCTCATTTCCCCCACTGCGGAGCATACTGACAATCGTGCATACGTGCTCCGGACAGAAAGAATTAGGTTTCCCCTAACAATAATCCCCACCTAACATCTCACAACAGGGCTGGATTGAGTGGCTGTCCAGATGTTGCTGGTCAGCAACTCACTGCACTCCACGGCAATGCTGGTTGGGAGAGGAGTCCAATAACCTCAAATACAACCTCCATGCCCACCTTTGCTTAAACTCTCCTGGCTGGCAGAGTGGCATCTCCATTCACACCCAGGTGTCAAAAGGGGGCTTTGTTTTTCTAGGGGAAGCAGCCCCAAACCTCCAGCAAAGAGGCTCAGAGCCAAGGGCTAGCCACCTTTGGGAGCATTACAAAACCTTTCACCTTTTCTGCCTAATGCACTCCTTAGGTCCTTCACCAAACTATAAATCCCGGGATGCCATGGACTGACCCATGGTCGTTCAAATGGTGCATTCATTCCACAGTGTGGATGCACCCAAAGAGGTGGGTGGGAAGATGAAGAGTCCGAATTTTACCCTTCCCTGTCGGCACTGGCAAAAAGCACTACAGCCTCTGTGTTCTTTCCCTTTACGCATTTTGGCCACCTTGTAATACACAATTGTGACATAGCTTGCCCCACTTTTATCCTGAGGAGCATCTCCACTGGCAGTTTGGACCCCACTTTAACTGTCATGCCTCAACGTATCATCTTTAAGGTGTGTTAATGGTGTATTGTAGTGTTCTTGATGTTTGTAAATTGTGTAGTATAGTGATCCTTAGGTTTCAAGTTGTGTATTGTAGTGTTCTTTAGGCTTGGAAATTGTGTAGTGCATTGCTCACCACTTTGAGTCTCTTTAAGAGAGAGGAAGAGAGAGAAAGCAGTCTAAATATAATATTATGAAAATCTGGAAGTTGTAGTTTCATAAGGTCTTTTGCCACACACAAAAAGCAGGGTTAAGAGCAAGGGCTTTCTCTCTCTCTCTCTCTCTCTCTCTCTACCTCTATCTCATTCACACATAGAAGCACCTAAATCCTCATCCTGCTCCTTTCCCCATAGAAGAATATAATTATTGTTAAAAAGAGAGGAAAGTGGAGCAGAAATACAAATAATAATACAGCGCTGTTAATAATATTAATACTATATATATTACAGTACTGTTATTGATATTAATAATAACAGTATAGAAAATTGAGAAAATACAAATAATATTCATCATAGAATCATAGAGTTGGAAGAGACCACACGAGCCATCTAGTCCAACTCCCTGCCATGCAGGAAAAGCACAACCAAAGCACCCCTGACAGATGGCCATCCAGCCATAATAATAATAATAATAATAATGATAATGATAATAGAGTGGGAAGAGATCCCATGGGGCATCTAGTCCAACCCCATTCTGGCATGAAGGAAAAGCACAATCAAAGCACCCCTGACAGATGGCCATCCAGCCATGATGATGATGATGATGATGATGATGATGATGATGATAATGTGGGAAGAGACCCCATGGGCCATCTAGTCCAACCCCATTCTGACATGCAGGGAAAGCACAATCAAAGCACCCCTGACAGATGGCCATCCAGCCATAATGATGATCATAATAATAATAATAATAATAATAATAATAATAATAGAGTGGGAAGAGGCCCCATGGGCCATCTAGTCCAACCCCATTCTGACATGCAGGAAAAGCACAATCAAAGCACCCCTGACAGATCCAGCCTCTGTTTAAAAGCTTCCAAGGAAGGAGCTCCCACCACACTCCCAGGCAGAGAGCTGCACTGCTATACACACACACACACACACACACACACACATACATATATTAATATTGCTATATCTATAAATAATACTAATAGTATATTATAGACAGAAATACAAATAATACAATACTGTTATTAATACTATATATTAAAATTAATATTGACATTAATAGTATTAATAGTATATTTTATTAATAGTACTTAGTATATATATATATATATACACACACACACACACACAAATAATACAGTACTGTTAATATTACTATATATAATATCAAATATGATATTATACATAGGAATACAAATAATAATACAGTACAGTTATTAATATGAATAGTAACTCTTTATAGAGAGAAAGACAAATAACAGTACTCATATCAACACTATATGTTAATAATGTGAATATGATATTATAGATAGAAATACATATAACAATACAGTACTGTTATTAATATGAATAATAACACTATATATTGTAAAGATATTATTTGTATATATTTACAAATAACACAATACTCATATCAATACTATATATTAATAATGTGAATACAGTATTATAGATATTATCCAGTATTGTTTTATTTATTTATTTATATCCCACGTTATCTCTCCATATGGAGACTCAAAAGTGGCTCACAATCAAAACCATTACAACTTCAAATATACAAAAATAAAACAGTATATCATGATATATTACTATATATTATCAGTAGTAATTATATTTAATATTAGTATTTAATATTATAGATTGTTAGATTGTATTATTATATTGCATAACATAATGTAACTATCAATATATTATTATTATATATTATTCGACTGTATTATTATTATATTACATTATCACTACATTGTACTACACCACTATGCTGCAATATTATATTTAATATATTAGTATTACTATATTACAATATTATTATATATTAGATTGCATTATAAGTATATAGCATAACATTATATTATTATCAATATTATATTATTTTATATATTATTAGATTGTATTATTTTTAATATATTGTGTTACATTATTACTATATTGTACTATACTACTATATTGCAATATTATGACATTTAATATATTAGTATTACACAATTACAATATTATTATTATATATTATTAGATGGCATTATTATTAATATATTGTATAACATTATAATATTATCAATATTATATATTATATTATATATTATATTATTAGTAGTATTACTATACCACTATACTTCAATATTATATTTAATATATTAGCATTAGTATATTACAATATTATTATTATTATATATTATTAGATGGCATTATTATGAGTATTTTGTATAATATTATAATATTATCAATATTATATATTATTATATTATATATTATATTATATTAGTATTAGTATTACTATACCACTACACTGCAATATTATTATATTCAATAGATTAGAATTACTATATTACAATATTATTATTATTATTTATTAGATTGATTATTATGAGTATTTTGTATAACATTATCTTATCAATATATATTATTATATATTATTTTATATTATATTAGCATTACTATACCACTATACTGCAATATTGTTATATTTAATATATTAGCATTACTATATTACAATATTATTATTATTATTATTATTAGATGGTACTATATTAATATAGTACCATCTAATTAGTATTATAGAATATATTGTACTATATCACAAGTTGTAGCCTATATAACATATCATATTACAATATTATTATTAATAATAATATGATGTATATAGTGATTAGCATTAATAATATGCATAGTATATACCAAGCATGGGCAAACTTCGGCCCTCTAGGTGTTTTGGACTACAACTCCCACAATTCCTAACAGCCTACCGGCTGTTAGGATTTGTGTGAGTTGCAGTCCAAAACACCTGGAGAGCCTAAGTTTGCCCATGCTTAGTATGTATGAATAGTAGTAATACTATCAGTAGTAATAGTATGTCAGGATCAGGATGTGTCTTTTGTTGCAGCTCTGCTGTCTTCCAAGAGACCCCCATCCTTGGAAGCAGTAGCGAACTACAACTCCCAGGGCTGGGCGCGGTCTTACCGGCTCCTGGCTGAGCAGCAGGGGTTCCTTCTCCTCCTCCTCCTTTTCCTTTGGCTGCCGCTGCATGGCGCCTCCAGCCGGCCTCTGGGTCCCGCGCCTCGCCGCCCGCGCTTTTATGCCGCTTTGCTTGCTTACGTCGAAGGCGCCGCCGGGCGGGGAGCCCTTTGCCCATGCTCCCCGTCGGGAAGCAGCAGCGCTGCCGCCGAGTGCCGCAGCCTTCCCTCGGCAGGAAGAAAAGCCCTAGCCGACGGGAGGAGCGCTCCGAGGCGCTGCCCGTCGGAGCGCGCTTGGAAAGCTACTGAGGCGAAACTCAAGGAACGCTGCTGCTGCTGCCGCCGCTCTTCCCTCTCGGCTCTTCCGTCTTCCCTCCCTCCACCTGCCCTGCTTCCTTCTTGCCTTTTTGGATGGCTCCGGCCGGAGGGAGGGACGACGGAAGAGCAGCAAAAGAGGCGCGTGCTGGGAAGGGAAGGCAAAGGCGGGGGGGGGGGAGGCTCGCAGACTTCAACGGAAAAGCGCCTGAACCGAAGGAAACTAAAGAAATTTAAAAAAAAGTGAAAAAGGCGGGAAAGGCTAAAAGCGCCTCGAGGCTTCGTCCCTCGCCCTTTCTGAGGGGCCCCTAGGGGCCCTGCCATATAGCCAGAGTACCCAGAATAACAAGGCAGAATAACCCACAATGTCTATCTGAGGGCCCCTTTTACACAGCTGTAAAAAATCCCACTTTGTCTGCTTTGAACTGGAATATATGACAGTGTGGACCCAGGGCCCTTCCACACACCCATATAATCCAGGCCCCTTCCACACAGCTGAATAAAATCCCACATCTGCTTTGAACTGGGATATATGGCAGTGTGGACTCAGATAAGCCCCCGTGATGCAGTGGGTTAAACCCTTGTGCAGCAAGACTGAAGACTGACAGGTCAGAGGTTCGAATCCGGGGAAAGCTCCCTCTGTCAGCTCCAGCTCCCCATGCAGGGACATGAGAGAAACGTCCCACAAGGATGGTAAAACACAAAACATCCGGGCGTCCCCTGAGCAATGTCCTTGCAAACGGCCAATTCTCTCACACCAGAAGCAACTTGCAGTTTCTTAAGTTAGTCCACACACACACACACACACAGAAAACCCAGTTCAAAGCAGATTTTCTGCCTTGATATTCTGGATTATATGGCTGTGTGGAAGGGCTCCCAGAATATCAAGGCAGATAACTCCACAATATCTGGTTTGAACTGGAATATATGGCAATGTGGACCCAGGGCCCTTCCACACATCTTTGTCCGTAGACGCCTCCAAGGTCATGTGGCCAGCATGACTGCATGGAGTTTTCAAAGTGCTAGGTTGGCAGAAGCTGGGGCTAACAATGGGAGCTCACCCTGCTCCCCAACACAAGTTTTCAAATAACTAGCCCACTTCCACGGCCTAACTCAATGCACGAGGAAGGCCTAGCTGGCCATTTTCCCTTGCAGGATTGTTGTGAGGGGAAAATCAAGTGGCGCTTTCCAGAAGGAACACTGTTTTGTTTCGTCTTAATGTCACATCACACACTCTGCAAGTGCAGCATTCTTCCGAATGAAGCAGAGAGTGTTTGAGGATCAGATGTTGATAGGGAGACCAAGATGCTTGCTTATAAAGCTATTGTCCTTCCAAGTGTATCAAAACGGACCATCTACAAACATCACAATTGACTTCTCCATCAGCTTTGCCTCTGAAGAACCTGCCAATCTCTTTGGAAGACAGGCGGACAAATGTCAGCGTGCTGGAAGAAGCAAAGACCACCAGTATTGAAGCGATGCTCCTCTGTTATCAACTCAGCTGGACCGAAAGCTACATTGCCCGAATGCCCAAAGATCATAGTCTCCCAAAGTAGTTATTCTACTCCCAACTCAAGAACGGAAAACAGAATGTTGGTGGACAGGAAAGGACATTGAACAATGTGCTTAAAATAACAAAGCCAGTGGACCTGATGGGATCCCTGCTGAAATCTTTAAAGGGGGTGGACCTGGGAGAAAAGAATAAAGAGGAAGAAGGCGCTTCAAGCCAACCCTTGTTGGAGCCACCTTCCATCTGGAAATGGATGTCCTCATTGTGGAAGAACATGTGGGTCAAGAATGGGTCTCCACCGCCAAGACCCTATGCTTGGAAGACCATGATGATGATGTCCAGCACCGCTCCCCACTTCTTGGGTTTTTTTTTTAATTCCTCATATCTTGTCCTCTGAAGTGTTTTTGGACTGCAATTCCCATCAGGGAGGGACAATGGGAGGGGCAGCCTTGTCCTGGCTTGAAAAGCCTGAAAAGGAATGTTGTTTGGCATGACTTTGCAGCAGTTTAATGCAATGGAGCCCCAGCTCAAGGAACCCTGGGAGTTGTAGTTTGCCTTAAGGAGCGAAGGCTTATCCAACTACAACTCCCAGGATTCGTACAGAGACAGCCCTCATTCCACCTCCTCAGTCCAAAAGGATGTGCTTTAAGGGGGGCAGGGTTTCTGAGCAAGCGCAGAGTGCACTCCTCTTACAGCTCTTTCCAAATAGCCTTTCTGATAGGCTTTTGGCCTGCATTTGAAGAGAAGACACAAAGGATCAGTCTCTATTGCAGAGTTAATGCAGCTTGACTGCACTGGAACTGCCTTGGCTCCATGATGTGGGACCCTGGGACTTGTAGTTTGGAAAAGGAGGCTAAAGATTCCATTGCCTTGAGCCATGTCAGTTCAAGCGGTGCCAAACTACATTAAGTCTACAGTATAGATGGACCCAGAGCTTTTTGTATCCCAAAAGGAACTGTCACTCGCTTAAAAGTCTTCAATGTCTGACAAGTAACACTATCAATTCCTTCTACAGAAAAAAACAGTCCAAGCCCTGGTTTGAAACACCTTGCCTGAAAGACAGAAAGCACATCTATACTAACACAACATACAAACAATCTACAAACCCACCAAGAAAATCCAACAAATGCTACGTTCAGCAAAGGACAAGAGGGATCCTCTCACCTCTGCAGGAGTCTACCGTATACCATGCAGCTGTGGACAAGTCTACATAGGGACCACCAAACGCAGCAAGGCCCAAACATGAATCAAGGAACATGAAAGGCACTGCAGACTACTTCAACCAGAGAAGTCAGCCATAGCAGAGCACTGATGAACCAACCTGGACACAGAATATTCTTTGAAAACGCAGAAATGCTGGACCACTCTCACAACCACCATGGCAGACTACACAGAGAAGCCACTGAAATCCACAAGCATGTGGACAATTTCAACAGAAAGGAATAAACCATGAAAATGAACAAAATCTGGCTACCAGTATTTAAAAAAACTCTAAAATTACAACAGCAAAACAACAGAGAGGAAACAAACAAGGACATCTAATCACCTCTCAAGAAGAGTTTGCTCCAGGCACAGTCAGCCCATTGTATGCTAATCAAGGTGGTCAGTTGAAAGATTCACACCTAGCCCAACTTACAAAAGCCCTTTGTCTCACCCTGGTCATTCCACAGATCCCTTTTTTCCCAGCTCCAGCAGACCTCACCTCTGAGAATGCTTGCCATAGATGCAGGCGAAACGTCAGGAGAAATGCCTCTAGAACATGGCCATATAGCCCGAAAAAACCCACAAGAACTGACACATCTATACTGTCAAATGAATGCAATCTGACCCTGTTTTAACTGCGACAGAGCCCTGGACGTTGTGGCTGGGCACTATCTTTGGCCTCCTCTGCTCAAGAAAGCCAGGGCTTTGCTAAACTACAACTCCGGAGCCTTTGCTGCATTCAGAGAAAGACAGAGCGACCCAGGAAAAGGTCGTTTTGACCCAACTCCTTAGGATCATTAGCTGCTTCCCCTCCTCTCCGCGGGCTTTACATATTGCCTGAGCAACATGTTGCATAATCCAAGTGTTTTTGTGCAATCCAAGCATGGATAAAAGAAGCCGAATGAAAAGAGTTAAGATGACTGTTATTACGAATAATAGCCAGATGCAACTCTCAGCAATTCTTAATAATAAGAAGGAATGGACAAGTGCTGGGCCCGAGTGCCACCTGCTGGCCACTTGAACACCTCAAAGCCATCTTGGGCTTTTGTCTTAATCCACCTTGGAAAAATGGCCTTTTGGGGATTGTGGCTTCCAATGCTGTCTGCGGATGCTAGGTGTTGTTATCTTTTGACCCCCAAGTGGCTGATTTAGAATCCCGTGGATATAGAATCACATGGAACCGAGCTATTTCTTAAGGTAGCAATTAAATTAATGGAGAGCCAGCCTGATAATGTAGCTGGAGGCTAGCGATCTGTGTCCGTGTCATCGATGGACCGCTGGCTGACCCTTGGGCAATTTCCTGGTACATCTACAGTCACTCAGTGTGATTGTCTACAATGCTCATCTCGTCAGGGGAGTTAAAAATAGGAATTAGCAGGTAGGGCGTAATTGTGTATATTGGCCTTGTTTATGCAGCAATTACCTCCATTTCGCTGCACTTACTCCCATTTGTTGGTTAATGGATCTCAATAGCCACTCAAGACCAATCCGGCTCAAAAACACTTCACTGTGCCCAGCTTTGCCTGTCCTAAGGTGCTCTTGGGTGAAAGCTGAAAACAAGGATGCTTTAATTGGCCATAATTGGGTTTGGCCGAGGCAACCATCCACGTAACCAGCAGGTGGCACGGCCGCTTCACCGATCAGGCCAGGGGAAGAAAAGGGGATATTTCCAATAAAGTGGTGGACCAAAAGCTGGACTGATGAAAGCAGGCAATGCTTTCTGACGACAGCGGCTGGGGGGGGGGGGGTCCTGCTAAATTTGATGCTCCAAGTCACCTTTGTTTTGGAGCAGGCCTGGGCCAACTTGGGTCTTCTAGGTGTTTTGGATTCCTAACAGCCTCATGCCCTTTCCTTTTCTCCCTCAGCCACTTAAGCAGAAAAGGAAAAGGAAAGGGCCTGAGGCTATTAGGAATTGTGGGAGTTGAAGTCCAAAACACCTAGTGGGCCCAAGTTGGCCCATGCCTGCTTTGGAGGCTCTGAATAATTCCTGGATGAAAAGCAGAAACTGCTTGTTTTGCTAGGAAATTGTGAACGTGGTCGGCAGGGGGCACTGCAAGCCTAGTTATTGGCTCGGCTCCTGTTCCCTGCCATTACTGATATTCTTGGTACCCGGTACCTTGGTATACCCCCTCGATGGACTGTCACCTTGTCGTGGTGAGGGGGCTTGCGCGTTCCAATGAACCTGTAGGCACA